AAAAGTTGCCACAAAATAACTCAAATCCCTTATGTTACGTCATAGGCATTAACATATTGGAAATATAAACCTTCGTATCTCAAAGACCCGACATTCAAATGACGAATAATTGTCACAATCAACTATTCACTATCTAAAGAATCAATTCTGAAAATATTGTGTAAAGGCTTATAAGCACTTTAAATTAAATTTTAAACACTTCTTGGTAAGTCAATACATTTTTATGTTACACCAAAACTTTTGCAGTAGTTGGCAAAAATATTATTTTTAGATTTCACTGCGAAAATTACCAATAAAGTGCTAGGATGTATTCAAAGATTTTACCTATTAATTTGAGTCCACAGATAGCGCGGGTTTTTGGCGGGATCAGCAAATGTTGTTTTATATGGAGTATTATTTAGGTGTCTGTTAGGAGAGAGGTAACTGCACTAGTCGATGGTGCCCATCCTCATTGAAACCCATATTTATTGCACTATCTACGTTTTGACTATATAGTCACTATAGTTTATTGTAAATGTCCACAGTGCAGACATTATATTAATGATATCTAATGAAATCCGCAATTTTAGCTTGAGCGTATTTGGTTTTCCTATCGAAATCCCCTTAAGGATATAAGCTACAGATCATTTGCTTGAGTTAAAGGTGTCCAAACAAAAATGATATAAGCTAGGCGGGGAATAACAGATGGTCTGAAATCTAAAAACGTTATGCCCAGGCCAAATTGGATCGATGGATCTATCTAGCTGTTAACTGAATTTTTGCATTTTTTGACTGATAACAAATTTCTTAGCTCTTTTTTGTGTCTCAGTTTTAAGTTTTTGTAAGTTTTCTGAATGTCCTGAAGAAACTGGTGCAGCACCATTCTCATTTCTTCAGCTGTTGACTTGTAACAACTCAGCATAGCGTTTTCTGCAAACGAAAGAAAAACACAGGGATTATTAACATGATCGAATAAAAGTTATTGAAATGGAGACCCTACAGCATTTTGTTCGGCTTGAAATGTGTAAGGTTACCTGGCTTGACACGTGATCTTATCTTCATTCGTATCACATGGTACAAAAGACCACATGTTAATCCCAAAGCAAGTAGGCTTAGCAACAGCAACAATACAAGGTAGAAGAGGTCATTTGTGGGATCCAAGAAGTCGATAGTTGCGTTTTCTGTAAAAATTGGCAGACTTCCCTAAACAAAGTAATATGATAATTCAAAAAAATTATCGATCAACCGATCAACAGTCAACTTTTTATTTCATTCTTGTTTTTATTTATTTTTTATTTTGTCGATACTTTGTACTTTGTCCCTGCCTCCCTGCCTCCCTGCCACCCTGCCTCCCTGCCTCCCTGCCTCCCTGCCTCCC